CCATTCCATGGATGGTGTATTCAATCAGAGTAATATTTTCTGTTGACACTCAAGACTGGAGAAAAAAAAAAGCAAGCTATCATATTAGAAAGTGGTATTCAGCATTTTAAGCGTGACTCCAATTCCAAAGTATAGTAAACTGAATGCTGTAAGAGTTGTGTTTTCATACAACATAAATCTCTTAGATTTATCTGAATATATTCACAGATAAATTTAAGCTACTTGAAATTCCTCTATAATTCTTGATAGTTATGAAGATATCATTTTAGTGCTTTTATCAACAAAATGCAAGGGACCACTTATTTTCACCATAGCTTAGCTACACTGTATATCGTAAGTTCTTAAGTCAGACTGACTAGGTTTAAGATCTTGCACATCCTAACCCTTCAATGGTCTTGGGTTTTTATTTAACCCTAATGCTCCTCTCTTCCTAGCTTACAAATAACAACACTTACCACAATGAGACTTTTTAAGGAAGAAATGAAATGATGTGGGTAATATACATAATAATTAATGGTACACACTGAATAATATCAAAGTTAGTTCATTTCCAACTTGCAAAAATGCCTTCTTTCAAAGAATAGCAAGAATATAGAGGAAAATGATGTTCTCAGGCAAACAGTGTAGAAAATGAAAGATAAAGGGCAGAGATGGCTCACTGATTGTGGATCTCAAATGTCCACTTAAAAGTGGGGTTGCAAAAGTAGGACACTCCGTAACCCCAGCACAGCAGAGACAGAGACAGGACATCACTGGTGCCCAGTGGCTAGCTATCCTGGCCAATAATGAGCTCCAGGTTCCATGACAAAATATGAGATTAGAGGGCCAGCAAAATGGCTCAGTTGGTAAAGGTGCTTGCCACCTATGAAGCCTAATGACCAGAGTTCAATCCCTGGGTCTCACAGGGTGGAAAGGGGAGAACACTTCTGCACATTTTTCTGTAACCTCCATATAGGCACCATGGTACACACACATTAGCCCGAGAGAGAGAGAGAGAGAGAGAGAGAGAGAGAGAGAGAGAGAGAGAGAGAGAGAGAGAGAGAATAATTAAATGTTAATTATAAAAATTTAAAATAATAAGACAGGGGTGATTAAAGGAAGACACCATGTCAACCTCTGGTCTCTACATGCAAAAACACTCACATACACATACAAAGGGATGAATAAGCAAGTGGCTTTTACATGACTTAGGGTGGATGAGTTTCCATCAGTGTTCTGCTTCATAGTTAGGTTATGACAGCATCAGAATGGGCAGAATGGAGATGACAAGGATTAGTGTCACTCAGGAGACATTGCCTGTGGTAAAGACAATGAGGACTGAGGGCAAAGGTATACTCCAGAGAGAGAGAACAAATATGAACCTTTTTGTGACTAGGGCACCCCACACCACTCTACTATTTCCTTAAGGCGGCAATGTTCGGAGTCAATTCTCATACATGTGGCTTGGATCTTTAATGTTTAAAAACAAAACAAGGTACGCAGTAGAGAAGGATATCAAATAGCTGCTATCTCCCAAGAAACCAATTCCTTCATAAAACTCCATGTTGATCATGTCTTCAAATGGGTATTGCATTCTGGGGAAAAAAAACACAAATAAATAAAACACAAGTTTGCAAGTCACCTAGGAAAGAAGAGCAAAGGGAATCTCTCATTCAACAGAAAGGTTGGGTGAGATCTACCTGACAGATCCTGTCAGTCCCAAGAGCACCAAGGGAGAACCCATGGGACCTGCTGGGCTTCCTAGACTTCATAGCACAATCTCAAGAAGGAGAATCATCCATGGAGCACTCACAGAGTGAGGAAGTACATAAAGAGTTCAGGTGCTTTCACAGCCTTCATCAGATAAGTCAAAGTGATTAATCTCTCCTTAGAATTGAGATACTTAAAAGATCTCTTGAGTAGAAAGCACTTTGTTGGGCAGGAAGAGAAGGTGCCACAGGGCTACTCAAGCCAAGAGCACAGAGTTTGAATCAGAAAAGGCCTGGCAGGAAGTTGGGATAGTGGAGGGCAATTTACCCTCAGTTTTATGAAAAGATTACATTTTTTTTAAAACACAGGAACACAAGGAGATAAACAAGAGGTTCTCAAATAACATTAAGAAATGAAGAGAAATAGATGTGAGCATGTGTAAGTTATGACCCTTCATGCCTACAATGTGAATGTATACATTCTTTGCTATAAGTGTACCTCCCTAGTTATCAGAAGCAAATGTCATCATCTAACCTGCTTAATGACACGATCTCATCTGCACATGACCTAGTGGAAATCACGACTCCATCAGCAGCACTCTCTTCTAAGAATAAAACAAATCACTATGACATGGTGTGGATTCAATTAGCACTCAGCAGGTCACAAGTAACTTTTAAACATCCTTTGTCTAAGTTAAAGTGTCAAAACATACAATAATTATGGTATCAGGGTGCTATCCTCAGACTTTACCAGCAGGAATAAAACTTTCTCTCTCAAGGCATAAGCTTTGATTACAAAGGTAGAAAACCGAATAGCATTCTGTATTATGGCAGCTTCCTATGTGTAGTGCCTCATCCTAAGTGGATTCCTTACTGACAATACTTGAAACCAATCATCCAAAATTATCCTCAAATTTCCAGTTGTTTTTTTTTAATATTAGGTATAGAAAGGAAGAGAAGTTAGAAGGAAAAGAGATGTTACCACCATCATGGAAATGGATATATAGTAAATACTGTAAAAAAATGCTACAGAATCTCATAAACACTATACTAGCAAAGCAAATAATATAATTCTATATTGTTCACTAACATAACATCTTGGATCAAACCTACAACAGAAATCTTTGATGGGTTACAGTTATTTGTCAATGGAAGAGCATTTCCTCAGCATGCACCAGGCACTCAGTCCAATGCCCCAGCACCACGGAAGGAAAAAGTCACCGGAACTGTAAACTATTGACTTGCAAATACAAAAATCACCTATAGAAGCAATCAACCATACATAGCACAGTGAAACTGCTAAGCAGCATCCTGGTTTGAATGCATCCTACCTTCCTGAAATGATAGGACTCAGTATGGAAAACACCTCTGATTTGAAAACTTCTATTGTGTCCACCCATCTAAAGCCAGGTGCAAAAGAATCCACGGGTTTTGTAGCCTGTTTAATGCACATTTCATGAAGTAGCTCTGAAAGCTGCTAAAGGTGAACGGAAATATGACAACAGAAGCGCTACTCAGATTTACTGCTCCGTGTGTCTTGGGCATCTCTATGATCTGTGCAAAACATTTGTTGTAAATAAGCCTGCAGAGAGTACAGTATGTTTTCCAGGAGACCTTTACAGAACAGCTTGCAGACAAGAGGTGCTAGCCTTGGTTTCACAGCCAGAAAAACTCCATCCAAGAGGCTGCTGGCGTGTTCCCACCTCTTGTTTTGAGCTGGCTTAATGACAACTCCACAAACCAAATTCCAAGGGTCAGTACCTGGAGTCAGTCACCATGAGCTATCCCACACTGTGAACAGTAAGTAGAAACTCTGACATTTCGATCCCTGTGAAAGAAAGGGAGTACCCACCCACCCCCATGGTATAAAAAACACTCAGAGTTGCCTGAGCAGTGAGGCAATCGCCAGTTCTCCGTAGTAAATTAAATGGCTGAAGCCCGTGCTTCTTCCAGCAAGAGAAAGAAACAAGCCTCACTGTAACAGCATGTGGGAATCACTGAAGCTTGTTTTTTTTTTTTAAGGCTTTCCTCGTTTTCTTGTATAAATAAACCTGCTCCGTTAAAAAAAAAAGTTCAGGAAATGAAATGCAAATAGGCACAGAATAGACGCATACAACTGAAAACCTCCATCCAGCCTTTAAATTCTTCTTTCCAGGCAGTATAACTGCTCTTAACACCGCTAGCTTCTATAAAAATGAGATTATACCAGTTCTTGGGATCGTTGTCAACCCTTCCAAAGGCCTCAGGGCTACCAGGAATCCGTTCAGGAGACAGGGGAGGTGAGGTAGTTAGCTCGGTGCCACCTCTTGCTAGACAAGTATTAGGTAAAACGTTTAATGCAATTACCTATTCTAAGCCTGCTGGACGGCATGCAGCAAAGAAGAAAGGTTAAGAAGGGCAGGGAGGGAGAAGCTTCTGGATTATTTCAAAGGTAGCTACAGCACGTCCGAAACTGCCTGTGATCCGCTTCAAAACAGGTCGGCGGGGTGTATCTTTAAGTTGATGCTCCGCTGGAGTGCAGCAGATCCAGAAAAAAAAAGGGGGGGGAGCAAGATGGGGGGTGCGGGGGTCCGGAGCTTATGAGAAGCCTAGATCTCCCTGCTGCTCGGGGAGGCCCGAGCTTCCTAGCTGGAGTAAGCACCGAGTAGGGAGAGGAAGCGCCAGGAGTGGAGCCTCTGGCCAACTGCTTATCTGGCTGGGCACTGCAGGCGCTGTTAAACCCCGGGGTTCACACAGCTCCCCAGGGCTCCCGCATCCACGCGGCCTCTGTGAAGCAAAGCCAGTGCTGGCTCAGAGCCAGAGCTAGGGTCGCCCGAGGGGTACTGGGCTTGGCGCAGAGCTGAGTGACCAGCTCAGCTGCTTCCCCTGAAGGGGGTAGGGGGAGCGCAGTCTCTACTGGAGCCCGCTCGCCTGCCTCTTTCCCTGCATACTCCCTAAGAACATCGTGAGAGCCCACCCAGGAACGAGCTCGCCCAAGAAGGAAAAGTGAAGAGGACCGAGGCCAGCGAGGATGTGGTGAGGACAAGCTATCCAGCCTGCAGCAAAGAGGGAGCGTTCGAAAGACAGAACAGGTAGCGACTGAGACTCAAGGGAAGGGCCCCCGGGTCACAGCAACCTGTAGGATTGAGGCAGATAGCAAACTTGGATAGGGAGGCAGTGGTCCCCTGGAGCTCCTCCACCCCGCTTCCCACCGAGTCGCGCTTCGCACGCGGGGAGAGAAGCCAGCACAACTTGGGAAGCCCAAGCCGAAGGCGCGGGTCCCGCTCCTCCTCGGTCCGCTCCTCTGAGCACCACCATCCACCCAGCTCTTACCTCGGGCAGCCGCGGCCCCCGCCGCCCAGAAACAGAGTCCTAGCCACGGGAGCCATCGGCGCGCTCCGTAGCCGCCGCCCGCAGCCGCCGTCCCCATGCTCCGAGCTCCTCCGCTCTGGATTCGCTCCTCTCCCTCACCCCGCGAGTCCGCGAGGCACGACGGCGGGGCACCACCACCAGTGGGTTCCCCCGGGGGTGGTGGGTCTGTGGTGAATCTATCTTCTCCACCACCGTTCCCTATGGAGCCGGGACATCGGATGGGCCGTGGGACAGGGCGCGCGTCCCCATTGCCTCCTGCGGCGCCGCCCGCCGTCCCCGCTGTGAGGACCGCAGCTCCAGATCCTCTCTGGGTCCGGGACTACCAAGCTGAGCCAGGAGACCGCATCGCTAATGAGCCCCCCCGGACCGCCCCCCTCGTGGCGGCGACCAATCAGCTGCGCCTGGGCGGGGCGGAGGGCGGAGCCGAGCGCCGGCGACGCAGGTGAGCCCGCAGCCGCCGCACGTGCGGACGCAGCCTCCCCGCCGCCGAGGGCTCCGCGCGCCTGCGGGAAAGCAGCGCAGCAGCGCGCCCGCCCGAGCCCAGAGGCCTGAGGCGAGGACGCGCGTCCGCAAGCGAGCTGTGTGGAGCAGCCTCTTGGAGGCGAGCGCCCAGCGGCGGGATGGAGGCGTCTGGCTGACTAAACTCTTCAGTGTGACAGAAGCTTCCAGGCAACCAAGGTTTGGCTTAACTTGGAGTCTTGACTCTCCTGTTTCCACGCTTTAACCAGCAGATGGATACAATAAAGATAACACCAAGAACCGTTACTGCGGCTGTGCTAATTATGGCCAAAAGTGAACATTAAAGAAGTGGGCGCGGGGAGCGCGCAGGGGGGGGACGGTGGGCGTGAACTGAGGGTGCTTGTGGATGTATGGGATCAAGTTTTTCTTTGTTTTGTTTTAAGACAGCAAAACGCTTTATATTCTTTTTTTCTGTTATAGGTGTCACTTCTGTAATCTCCAGAGTTCTCAAAAGTTGCCTCATTGCTGGTCACATATTTTTGTCAATTTCAGTCCACGCCCTGGCAATTGCCTTTCTAGTAAGTAAAGGGAAAGAAAAATAAGGCATGCTCAAAGTCTTCAGAGAAGAAAAAGACACACACACACACACACAACCAAACAAACAAAAATAATTCGTTTCCTCTTTATTTGGTGGTTAAATCTTTAACTGATCTTGGAAGGATCTCAAAGTCGTTTTTTATCCTCTGCAGTAGGCTAGTGTTTCAGGCAACCCCCCTTCCCCAAGACAGTTGGCTTTCTGTCCAGGGCTCCACAATAAGACCATAACTTTCTGTATGAAGTGGTCAAAATACCCCCAGGACTCAGCTGGTCAGAAACCTGGGTCCTCACTTTCAGGGTAGTCTCCATAGTGAAGGAAAACTCGGCTTGGAAGGCAGCATTGCCAACTACTCCTCAGTGGCTGTCAAGCTCAGTATTGATAGATGCACAAAACAAGCATATCTCACCAAAGTGCTGCATGCTCCCAAACACCCCTCCATGGAGAATAAACAGTTTAAGGTGAGGTGATTGGTGTGGGTGAGGTAATTGCACTAACTTCTTTGTGCTAAAGACAAAGAGGAGGATAGACAGAAAGATTGATTAGCTGATAAGCTCATAGACCATCCACCCCTCTGAGGACACCAGGCTTGTGAATGTCACTGGAAGAAGCTGAATTTTCCTACGGAGCTCTTGCAGCTCAATAACAGGATTGGGTCCTGTGCAAGAAAACCAAGCTCTGGGGAATGGATACTTCAAAGCAAAGACTGATGTGGGGCTGGCAGGGACTCGCCTGGGAATCTCTTTAGAATCTTGGCAAATGAGGGGTTTGTCCTTTTCTTCTGAGGTGAATTGGAAATTAATCTACCAAATATGCTTCACCTGCCTCCCAGAAGCTACTCATTCATTGCTTGCCTCTCTGTATTCCTCAAGACTATGTGGCAGTCCTGTTACAAATGAAGATTTGTAATTATTTTTTGAGGAAAATAGTTATATTTCCAGAATTCCCTGACCATCATTGATTCTTAACTATTGTCCCCTCAGGGAGCAAAGTATTGGGAATGAGTCTGAGATGTTAATTTTATATTAATAATTCCAGCAAAAAAAGATAAATGAAAGAAGAGGAAAGCAAATTACCTTTGGACAAAGTCTAGTCCCAAGAACAAGTCTTCATACCTGTTTTTAAAGAAGACTGTAAAAGGCAGGTATATTATCACTATCTACAGGAAAGGGCAGTGAATTTGACTTTAGAAGTAAATTGCCCAAGGCCCATGTAAGTAAGTAATTGTTGAACCTCAAGAACAAGAAGAACAATATCCATTTTGTGTAATTCTAAACTCACAGTGCAAGCCACAGGCCTGTCTGTTCGGTGAGGTTTATTTAGTTACTGCCTGAACAGAGGTACTAATCTGAAGTATACTTTCAGTATTACCTGAAGTTTTCCACACCCTATATTCTATACTACATATAAGTTACATTGTACACCAGAATTTCCTGTATTCATTTAGCTTCAGGTATTTTAAAACATGCACAACTGTTCCATTTGTATAAATAACCATATCTCTTTGGACAAAACAGTTGAGCAGTTGCCACTCAGAATTAGTTCCTCTGTCCAAGAGGAACTATGGTCCAAGCAGCACCATAGAATGCAAGAACCCGGGCTGTTGAGATGCATCACAGGTAAATGTGCTTGTAACATAATCTTGTCCACTTGAGCTACACCAGGGAGCCAGTAGGAGGAGAGCACCTATTCTCAAAAGGTGTTCTCTGATAACTAAAAGCATGACTTAAACACCCTTGCATACACATGCATATGGGCGGGCACGCGCGCATGCACACACACACACACACACACACACACACACACACACACACAGTAAAGAAGAAAAAGAGGGGAGGAAGAGACGAGAAAGATGTCAACCACCCTGATACAAAGGGTCTCAAATCCTCACTGCCAAGACAGGCTGGCTGGCTTAGGGCAGGCAAATCAGGAGCATCCCCCCACCCTCCACCCCTGTTTCCTCAATGGCAAACTAATGGTTTGCAACCAATTCAATCTTTTTGTTTGTTTGTTTTTTACTTTTTTAACATTTTTTATTTAAATGAGAAGCAAGCTTGCTTCACATGTCAATCCCAGCTCCCTCTCCCTCCCCTGCTACCCCCTCCCCTTCAGCCCTCACCCAGTTCCCCACCCAGTCCCCACTCCACTCTCCAAGGAGGGTGAGGCCCTACAGGGGAGATCTCCAAAGTCTGTCACATCATCCTCCACAGGGCCTTGGCCCTCCCCCGTGTGTCCAGGCTGAGACAGCATCCCTTCATGTGGAATGGGCTCCCAATGTCCATCTGGATGCCAGGGATAAATGCTGATCTATTGGCCCAGGCCCCAAAGAATGCCCAGGCCTCCTCACTTACACCCACATCCAGGGGATTCTGAATCAGTCCCATGCTGGCCTCTCAGCTATCAGTCTGGGATCCATGAGCTCCCTCTTGTTCAGGTCAGCTGTTTCTGTGGGCTTCACAGAACCCCATTGCTCATCACTCCTCCCTCTCTGCAACTGGGTTCCAGGAGTTCAGTTCAGTGTTTAGCTGGCAACCAATTCAATCTTACAAACAGTTCCATCTAAAAATCATCAGTTGTTAACTCTGGCGTATCATGATTTTGAATACAAGTTACTTAGCTACGTTAGAAATTAAGCTGTGTCTTCTGGAACTGAAATAACTATATAACAAATGTATTATGTTCCAGAGAGATTATTTTGAATTGTAGCTAAGCTATAATATTAACTGTAGCTCAGTATGTCTTAGTAGGATCAGGTTGCTGAAACAAAATACCAAAGAGTGAATAGCTTCTAAATAATAGAGATTTATTTCTCTCAGCTACAGGTACTAGACAACCCAATATTAGAGTGCTTTTGGATTCAGTATTTACTGAGGACCCATTTTCTGATGTTGTCCTGTCACCTGTCACCATCTCATAATCAAAAGGTGACGGAAGGTAAGGCCTCTTTTATAAAGAGTGAAATGGGTGAAAGGCAAACATTCAGACAAAAGCTAATATTAATTTAAGGAAGAGAGTTGGTAAAGTATTACAGTTTTACATTTTCGCTCTCTGAATTGATGGTGCTAATTTTCTAATAATTTATTCTTTGTGAAACAGACATGAAGTTTTGACTCCTACCTTACATGTATGACCTCTCCTTCAAAAAAGTATAAAAAAATGATGTGATCCACACTAGAAGAGATAGCTCTTCAATGTGGAGAGATATGCCTTCTACGTACATGTATTTTCATAGTCATTGCACTATACTTCCTTAATGTCTTATTTTGTTTCCCTATTAATGTGATAAAAAACACTGTGCAAATGTGACTTGAGGGAGGAAAGACTTTATTTGCCTTATGGGTTATTTTTACTCCTTCAACTGGAAAAAACCAAACCAGGATCTCAGCAGCAAATAGGAGATAGGAAGGGAAGCAGTCGTGAAGGAAGCTGCTTGCGGCTTGCTCCTCATGGCCTCTTCAGCCTTCTTTACTATGCAGCTCAGGATCGCCTGAGCAGAGGTGGCACTGCCCACCATGAGCTGGACCCTTCCATGTCAACCACGAATGAATAAAATGCCTCTCAGACTTGCCCAGAGACCAATCATAGGCAGCAAGGCTTCAACTGATGTTCCTGTCTCTCTGGTGAAGTTTGAATCCAGTTGATATACCCTTCTCAGCACAGTTAGGAAGTGTTCTCTGTGTGTTTGCAAAAACAGTACTTAACCCATCTGCTTGGTGTAAGTAGCAGAACTCTAATAAAGGTCAATACAGTAGCAATAGTCAACCTAAGTAAGGAAAACCTTTTATCTGATGCAGAAGGGTGATGGGAAGTTTACAGTTCATGGGAAGGCTTGCCAAAGGTGTGGCCATTCCTCTTGGAATCCCAATAAATCTTTATATGTGTGGAGGCGACCTTATTCTTTATGACACTGGGTATAGCAATTGTATTTTTAATGTAGATTACTGAGAAATAACATTAACACTCAAAAAAGAAAAAATTAATTTTGGCATGAAAACATTCAAAATGGAAGATCGGGGGTTTTTGTTTGTTTCTTTCTTTACTGCTTGATACAGTGGGTTAGCTCTCTTGGGATCACCATGTGACTCATTTAAAACATAAACAAAGGTAAAATGTGAAGCCACTGAGATGAAGACCTTTTAGATGTAGCTGAAAAGAAGAAAGAGGCTGAGGACCACTGACGGGCTTTCTGGAAGAAGAGTTGAAAATACCACACAATGGGTATCTTGCCAGAATTTGCCTAACCTATGGACTGAGTGAGTCATCTGAGTTGT